AAATGTCTCATACCTGAGACCCCCATCTAATGTACAACCCTCCCCTTTTGTTTTCCTTGTGTCAATCCGTGGAATTCCTATGGAATTTATAGTTCTTCCCATTGTTTCTTTCATCTCTCAGTACCCAGTTTTATTTATCAGCAGACCTACAGTTTGTCTGTGAACACAAGTCTCTCCCATTCCATTCATCAATCAGTGGAATCCTTGCCCTTCTTTCTTTTCTCTCTCACTGCTAGTTTTACCTACCAGCAGACCCACAGTTCATAAAGACAAATCCCTCATTCCTTTCACCCTCAAAACAGCTTCAAAATCGCAGGACAAAAAGCCAGCCTGGGCACAGTTATGCGTTCAGCACATTAAGGCCAAGGGACTTTTGACAGGTCACAAAACATCCGGGCCTGGGTGCTGTGAACAAAGGTTTGTGCGCAGCCTCCCCTGCCTCAGGGCAGCCAGAGGCCCCTGTGACCTGGCCACAATGGAAAGGCTTAAGCACAGTGCCCAGCTGGAAAAGCTTCCTTCTCCGACAGTGTGTAAGTGTTCGTGAGGGGAGCAATAGCCCCAGTGGCCCTGTGCCAAGGCCCCGAGGGACCTGCTGGGCACACACACAGTGACAGATGTGTCCCGGTGTCCTCTGCAAGCCGTCCCACATTACAGGGCACACTGACCCCCAGAGTGCAGCACGGCTCCTACACTGCTCAGCTTCTTGCTGAGTGTAACACGGGATCCTTTCACCCTCACAGAGGTGGGGGACACCTTGCAAAATAATACACCCTAGCAGAAGGGCAAGAGAGCATTTTCAATTTATAATTTTTCAATTTATCCATCTGCCTCACCCACCACTGACCACCACGCTCCTTTAGGGCAGTGTAGTTCAACTCCTGGGATAAGATCCTCTCTGGTCTCAATCCTCTTTCCCTATTTCTTCAGAAAATGTTCTGTTGCCTCGATTTCCCTCCCCTGCTTGTTCCCTGAACCCGGCTTTCTCACACTCCCCTCTTGCTGTGTGTGCCTTCAGCCAGCGCCGCATCCTGAGTTTCCCTGTGCCCTCCCACGCTCTGATATTTACCCTGGGAGTTACACGCCCCCAGCTCTAATCTGATCCTCATGGAACAGCAGGTTCATTTAATCACCGGCTCAAAAATTGCAGGCACATTTTATTAGACTTATCTCTCCTAACGATACAGGGATAGCACACCACAATACCACCGAGAGCAAGCTACAACTGCTAACCCAGCTGACTCCTGGCTCCTTTATAGGGGAATAAAGCCAAGGGAACGACACATGGTGTCACTTCATAAACCCAAACAGAGCACAGCGCGGCACTTGCTAACTACAGCTCCCCAAAGGGATGTGTGATTCACACATAAAGGCACTCCCAGGCCCGAGAGCTCTGGCTGTGAGCAGAAAAAAGCTGTATTCTGCTCTGAATTCCAAAGTTTGTGCCCTGTGTCTAGAAAAGCTCAGACTGCATTCTTGAATGTCCATTCTGTTACTCCTTCTCACAGGAGTAACAGAAACCTTTCCATTTTTTTTCTTTTTTCTTCTCTGTAACATCATCATTCAATGGATTTTAAAGAGTAAGCACAGAATATCCCGAGGAAGGCTAAAGTGAACCATGTGACAGGAGAGAGGAAGGCTTTTGATTGATTTGCATGGAATCCTACTAGCAGCTGGTTTCTTACACTCTGGGAGGTTTACATCACTTCCCTACCCCCTCACTCCCGTTCTACTGACACCTGATAATTGTCACTCCCCCTTTTCAAAAGTACTTAGCAAACAGATGTACCTGGCTATTACAGGTGCCTTCTCATAATCCTAAAAAATACACAATTTGCATTTTCCCCTTTTCTCTGTGCAAAGTTTCAATTCCAACCAGCTCTGGAGAAGAACAGGCTTTCACAGTGAATGCCACCTTTTCTTTCACAATTTACAATTTTGGCTGCAGTTCATACTAAGCTTTCCATAGGGAAGTTTCATCTAGGTACAGAGAACTCAGCCAGAATGAATAGCAAAAGAAAACACACTATAATTTAACCACGTAAGAAAACCCAAAACCAAACATGAAATTAAACTGAAGCAAATTAGTGCAAAATCAGATAGCGGTGAAATAAATCTGCTAGATTTATTAGCAGATAAAGTTTAGCACCAAGAGAAAAATCTGGACTACCACTACCCTAGCTTAGTGCATAACTTCCAAACAACTTTGAACTTCTCTGTTATGTAGACAAAGAAAACTATGTGCTCATCACAGGCTCTGCCCAACACATCTCTTTTCATCTGAATGAGTTATCTAGTAAAACATTTGCCACTGTATTTCCTGATCTATGCCATTTTCCCCTCAGAAAAAGCCCAGGAAAAAATTAAGAGTGGTCATGGAGTCATAAAACTCAAAACTTAGAAGCATCTCAGGTTCTGTGGTGTCTCAGTTTATGTTTAGGGCTGAAACCCCAAAACACAGAGTTGAGCTTTGTGTTCAAGACTACACAAATAAATAAAATATTTTTCTTATGAGGTTTTTCTTTGCACCAATCACTTGGGCCTCGAGGTCTCGTTGCCCAGTTCCATGAGTTGAATGGTTACCCCATGGGGGTGCACTGACAGACAAGGTGTAGCTGATACAAGGCAAAGGTCTCTTTAACTTAATTCTTTATCTGTCATAGTTTACATGGGCAGACTGGCCTAAAATTTTATAAGAAATTTTTCATACTGGGATTTGTTTCATACTAGGAGCTTTATTCCCACAACTGGAGAAGAACTTATTCTGCTGTATAAAGATACAGAAATGTAATCTTAAAAAACTCTGGCACTTTTCCTGCTTGTGTAATTCAAAAAGGATCACAGTAAAGAAAATTCAATTTGGCAATCCATTAACATAGATTTGATGCTCTCTCTGTTCATATCTTGATGTCTCACCCCTTTCAGAAAAATGAAAATAACTCTTGGTAAAGAGTGGCTGTTCCCTCTTATTAGTCCAGTATATTGGCAATTATTAAAACCCTGGGAAAGCTGCTGAAGCTCTGCTGACTCATGGTGGCCAAGAACTTATTTGTTAACTCCATAACCAAGGTGGAGGAGGGAGAGAAAGAAAAAAAAGGCAGAGAGCAGGCAAAGTTTGGGAAGAAGGCTGTGTGCCAGGCGGGCACTAAGTTGCACCAATTCTTCAGGAGAAAGGATCTGGATGTTATTGGAAATTTAACATGCTGTGTTTGAACCAGATGAAGAGACAAACCTAATTTCAGCCCATTTAAGTTTAGGAACCTAAAAGAGTCATTTCAATGCAGAGTTTACCTCTCACAGACATCTACTGTCAACGGAGGAAGAGCAGCGGCTCCAAAAGACAAATTGACTTACCAAAGGTCTGAGCTGTCTTCTCCCTGCTCCATCAAGAACAGAGACACCCCAGGGCAGTGATGGAAAGCCTGTACCAGGACAGCAGCCTGGCACGTGGCACTGCTGTCAGCGCAAGAGCTCAGTTCCCACTGCACTCTGCAGTTTGTCACTGCTCCTCCACCCTACAGAGCAGCCTGCAGAGCCCCAAACAAGCTGCAGCAGAGCAAGGGGGATGGAGCTGACAGGGATTAATGGAGCAATTAACCCTTTCCCTCCCCACCAAACTGCCCCAAGGAGAAGAACTCTCACAGAATGTGCCATGACGCAGGAATATATTTCTGACATGAAAGATGTTAGTAGGTGTTAGCCAGGAATGACTCCTCATTTGGGAGCTCTGGTTTGGTTCATTAAGACTTGTGGGATTACTGTAAACCTGAGGTCATTCACAGCCTAAGTACTAGCAAAGGTGGCATTTTAATGCCTGGAAAATTTTAGATTTCACCTCATTTTAAATTATTCTATTCTCACAGCAGTGAATAATTAGGGAAAAGCCAGAGGACATTATTCCCAGGGTACAGATTCTCCCCCAGAAAGGCAAAGTGGTTCTCAGCACTGTCTGGCTGCATTTGAGCACTGCACTCTGCACTCCTAAGGAGCAGCACAATTCTTCCCAGCCCCCTGCCCATTCCTGCACAAAAAAGAGCCAGGATTTTCCACTTGCCCACCATCATCTGTGATCACATCTTTCACAGCAAAGGAAGGCTGCCAGCATGGTGGATTTGCTGTGACACCATCTTACCCTTGCTCTGCCCAGATGAGAGCATGTGTTCTTTCCCCGCAGCAGGCAGGGAAGAAGGGAAAACCAAGGAAAGACAAGGTGGCTCTCTTGGTGGTATTTGACGACTGTAGAGCATCACACATATAAAAAGCTCAGCATTACTGTACCTTCACATAAAATCCTGTCCCTGTCCTGAACAACAGTAAAAACAATTCACCTCATTAAGGTACCACACCAAGCTGCGTAGTCGCTGTGCTGTAAAGGCTCTGGAAGCCTGTGGTTGAAGCGTTAGCGTTGTGGAACAAAGTGACAGCAAGTTGGGAAATAAATGAGCACAGTACTCTCTTCTAACCTCCTGGCACTGAGCCTTTTAACAGAGAAGAAAAAAGCAAAAACGGAAAATGTCAGCCCCAAAAACATTTTTCACGTTGTAAAAAAGAGAGTCCGCTCTAAAGCACTTGATAAGAGACACACTGAGGGGTCTGAAAAATAGCGAGTGGAACAAAAAGGTTATGTGAACACATCTAATGTAATTAAAAAAATAAATCTTTCCAACCAAAATTTGTATCTATGTCTTTCAAACGTCACGTCAGCCCTAAAGACGAAAGTCTCAGCAGCTCGGGGATGCAGGGCAGCGCTCGGGAGCACGCACAGAGGGCCGGGGCAGCGCGCACGGAGCGAGCAGCGCCCGCTCTCCCGGGGGAGCTCGCTCATTTGCAAGGGAAGGCGGGCACTGCACATGCCCGCGGTGCCGCCGCCGCTGGGGGCAGCTTTACATAAGGCTCGCCCGGCGCCAGCGCGCTCAGTCGGCCGGGGCTCTCGGCATGCCGGGCCGCGCTGCCCGCAGCTGGCGCGCCCGAGCCGCGGGCCCGGGGCACGGCGGGGCAGCGCCCGGAGCGCGGCGCCGCGGGCTGCACCCACCCACGGGCGCTCCCATGAAGCGACGCTGTGAGAGCCGCGCTCCCAACTAGAAAGATGCAAAACCGTAATATCCGTGAAGATCCTATTACCTAGGAAGAATTTGACGTTTTGCTGCGAACGCTGTGTTGGGATTGATTTATTCTTGGAGTGCTCTGCACGGCTGGCAAAGAATAATGTTCCAAAATCGGTCCATCTCCCAAGGGGTCCAATTTTTCTTCCTGGGTGTCAGCGAGCCCTGACTCACTACAGTGCAGCTGACAGGGGCTGCCATGCTTGTGGCACACTAAGCAAAAAACAAAAGACCTAAGGACGACCTTTGAACAACACAAAGGATGGGTATGTTTTTCATGTTACCTTTTCAATTTATACTTCATAGTTACTGCATAGCCTGTGCTTTAATTACACCATAAACTTACCTTGATGTGTTTTGTTATTGTACTTAAATGGCTTAGGGATTACACCTTTTACCCAACTATTTGTCAGTAGTTATATTGAGGTATTCTTAAAACAAACCAAAAAAAAGCCGAGTTTAAGAAAAAAACCCAACGTGAAAAGTAGTCGAGTCAAGCTAGGGCTTTGTAAATGATTGCTGAAGTAAAAGATATTAGCATGATTGAAAAAAATGACTGATGTGTGGGGGGATAACTTTTCTAAGTTGTTTTTATTTCCAGGTTTCAATGTAATTAGGCTACTGAGCGGATCAGCTGTAGCTCTGGTAATAGCCCCTACTGTATTACTGACAATGCTTTCTTCTGCTGAACGAGGATGCCCTAAGGGCTGTAGGTGTGAAGGCAAAATGGTATATTGTGAATCTCAGAAATTGCAGGAGATTCCCTCAAGTATATCTGCTGGTTGTTTAGGTTTGTCCCTTCGATATAACAGCCTCCAAAAACTAAAATACAATCAATTTAAAGGTCTTAATCAACTCACCTGGCTCTATTTAGACCATAACCACATCAGCAATATTGACGAAAATGCTTTCAGTGGAATACGCAGACTAAAAGAGTTGATCTTGAGTTCCAACAGAATCTCCTATTTTCTTAATAATACCTTCAGACCTGTGACAAATCTCCGGAATTTGGATCTGTCATACAATCAGCTGCAGTCTCTGGGATCTGAGCAGTTCAGGGGCTTAAGGAAGCTGCTGAGTTTACATTTGCGGTCCAATTCCCTAAGAACCATTCCTGTTCGAATATTTCAAGATTGCAGGAACCTCGAACTGTTGGACCTGGGTTATAATCGCATCCGGAGTTTAGCAAGGAATGTCTTTGCAGGTATGATCAGACTGAAAGAGCTTCATCTGGAGCACAATCAATTTTCTAAGCTCAACCTGGCACTTTTTCCAAGGCTAGTCAGCCTTCAAAACCTTTATTTACAGTGGAATAAAATCAGTGTGATAGGACAAACTATGTCTTGGACCTGGAGCTCATTACAAAGACTCGATTTATCTGGCAATGAAATAGAAGCTTTCAGTGGACCTAGTGTTTTTCAGTGTGTGCCCAATTTACAGCGCCTCAACCTGGATTCAAACAAGCTCACATTTATTGGTCAAGAAATTTTGGATTCTTGGATATCTCTCAATGACATCAGCCTTGCCGGGAATATATGGGAATGCAGCAGAAACATTTGCTCTCTGGTAAACTGGCTTAAAAGTTTTAAAGGGCTGAGGGAAAATACAATTATTTGCGCCAGCCCCAAAGAGCTGCAAGGGGTGAACGTGATCGATGCAGTGAAAAACTACAGCATCTGTGGCAAGAGTACCACGGAAAGGTTCGAGCTGGCACGAGCTCTCCCAAAGCCAACGTTTAAACCAAAACTCACCAGGCCTAAACACGACAGCAAGCCCCCCGTGCCCCCGACGGTGGGAGCCACGGAAGGCAGCTCTGAGCCCGAGCACGACGCGGAGCACATCTCCTTCCACAAAATCATCGCCGGCAGCGTGGCTCTCTTCCTGTCGGTGCTGGTGATCCTGCTGGTGATCTATGTGTCATGGAAGCGCTACCCTGCCAGCATGAAGCAGCTGCAGCAGCGCTCGCTCATGCGGAGGCACAGGAAAAAGAAAAGGCAGTCGCTGAAGCAAATGACTCCGAGCACACAGGAATTTTATGTAGATTACAAACCCACCAACACTGAGACCAGCGAGATGCTGCTGAATGGAACGGGACCCTGCACGTACAACAAATCGGGCTCCAGGGAATGCGAGGTATGAACCATTGTGATAAAAGAGCTTTTAAAGGCTGGGAAATAGTGGTGCTTTATTGAACTCTAGGGACTATAAAGGGAACGTTTTTCTCACTTTTCTGGCACAGCTCTTCCATGTCCCTTTTTTGTACATTCATAATACTGGTCATTTTGCTCTCATACATAATCAACTCATTGAAATTTAAATACCGCAATCAATGTGAAGCCTGAGCTCTGGTTTAATACAATACCTATTGTACAAACCCTCTACTGATCTCATTAAAGTCTCTCTTGTTTTTAAATAGAAAACTTCTTTCATAAGTAATCCACTGCACCTGCACCAACTGTGCCTCTGTTTAGGGAGATAAATGACAACAATGAAAAGAAAAATCAAACTCAGGGTATCCCCCTCTGCCTCCCCAAACCCAGTCCTTGCTCTAAAACTCACTTTTTGAGCCCAGAATGAAGTAAAGATCCAGGTGCTGTAGTATCATATGAATTCTGAGTTGTCTGAGGGCAGAGATGGTGCAGGAACAGCTCTGAAAAAATGCCTGCTTGCTGCTCAACACAAGAGAGACTAAAAAGCACCCTTAGGAATCACACCAGAGGCAAGCAGAGGGAAACCTAGGCTTAATAAAAATTTAAAAATTAAAAGATACAGTGGTATTTACTGTACTGCATTATACCCCAGTGTTTCTAGGGCCAATAGCTAGCAATTGAAACCTGTTTATGTGACTTCATACAAAAGGTGCCAGTGTTTATCCCTACATCCAGTTGCCTTTCAGAAAATAGTCAAAAGGCATTCATTAGATGAGGAGCAGAAATTCCTTATTGATGCAATTAGAGGAACTCAAATGTGCAGCAGCAAAAGCAAGACCACTTCCTGCACACATTTGTTTCAGCTCTCATTAGGAATTCTCTTTTCAGGACTGTCAAAGGCATTTATGTAGCTGAGGAAACCATTAAAATCCATCATTTTCTTCTGTTTCTGTTTATTGGCTGGGCTAGGCTCGCTAAGGTTGTGTGTTATGTTTTGCACAGTGTCCCTCTAATAACTAAATAAAGCTTCATCACTTAAAATGCCAAACACTGTGCATTTTAGACATACTACAGCTGCACAGAGCTTTCAGAGAAAACTGGTTACTCACTGATGTGAGAGGAGTCCACCCAAAAATCCTTTTACACCATTCAGTGACAAATCATTTTCCTCTCTTACCAAAACCCTAATGACATTACAGAATTCACACATATTCAGTTTTAATGTCTAGTCATACAGCAGTGGTTGTGGGCAAAATACAGATTTGTAACCCAGCTATTCCCTGCCTTCCTTCTCCCAAAATCATGTATTTGTTGGCTGCAGAAGAATAGAATATCCCCCATATTTGCAATTAAATCATATCTCTTATTTTGATTTTCAGGAAGGGAGGGTATGAAATAACACAGCAGCACCTTTCTAGAAGTCAGTAATTTAATTATCTCCATTTTGCAACTTGATTTGGCTTTGTAAACTGCACATCTTCAATCACTTGGGAAGGAATATTTCTACAAGGCAGTTTCACTGCAGCAGATTAGAAAAAGCAAAACCTTAACAGAAGGTTCTCCTGAATTGTTACTGAAAAAACCCAATCATAGAAAATCACCTTGAAACATGCTCAATACAGTGAAAACAAAGACAGAAACATCTCTTAAAAGAATTAATACACTTGAAAGGGTTTGGGCTGGGGTTTTTTCACGGAATGAACCCATTCTCCTTTTCAAGGACTGTAGTGAGGAAATAGCTGAGGGTGGAAGCTGGAGCTGTGCTGAGCCCTGCAAGAGAGACCCCATTTCCCTGAGCACCAGGACCCCACAGCATTCACAGTGCAAGTGCTTGAGACACTTCAGCAGCACAGCAGAGCTGCACCTCAGTTGTGCCTGGGAAGCTGCTATTAAAAAGTCAATACACATTTAATTATCCAGGCTACTGCAGGATTCAGTTTTCTACCAGCACATCCTGCTTATCTCTGAAGCTTTAGAGTACTGAAGCTTTAGAGTTTGCTATAAACTTCATGTTAACAACCATCCCTGCACTTCAGGGGCTTCCGTCTCTGCAGTGGTGACTAACATTGGGCACAGCCAAAACACAAGAGACTTGCCCCAAAACATATGGATGTTCATATATACATACATACAGACACACACACACGTGTGTATGTGTGTGTGTGTACAAATATAAATACACATAAAAATAAACTTAATTTTTTATATTTCATTTTAGGACTGCTAACTGCAATCAGAAAATAATTTCATACTGTTGCTTAAGAATTTTTGTTATTCAGAAATATTCAATGCATCTTCCAAAACCTCTTAATGGACTGTGATTGTGAGAGTTGTCTATAATTGAATTGGACTTATTATGCTTTGTGTTTCTTTAATGCCTTGTTGTAAATATCACTCACAAAGAACCAATCCACAGCCTCCTTCAGAAAGTGCTACCTGTAAAACCATCACTAGCTCCCTTTGAATGATCAATTATAGGCATGAAAAAGCAAATCAGGCCAGTCTGCCATTAATCATGGATGGGTAACAAACACCCAGCACGTGCATTCATGCGCAGCCATGCTCAGATCCCCAATCCCCTCCCAGCCTGGGAACTGCAGGTGTCCCCAGACACGTGGGTCAGTGTGTGAATCCTGCCATGGTCACTGGCAGCCCGTGGCTGGGCACACACCAAACACACCCCGTGCAACTCTCTGAGCCTTGTGCACAGCCCAGGGCCTGGGAGCCAAGGTTTTAAATCCCACCCTAGTGCCCGTGGCTTAGAAAGCATTTTGAACCAGCTCCACAGCCCCTTAAAACACATTATGAACTCCACGTTTTCATGTGGGCAAAACCCACATGAACTCAGCTAACCTGAGCCTCACCACTGGCAAATGAAATGCTCCAGCAGTGACTTGGTTTGGGTGGCAGGGCCACCAGAGTCACAAATTCTAATAATCTTGGGAATGACTTGGTCTTGGCTGAGCAGCTTTTAGTCCCCATGAAAGGCTGCCCCTCTCCTGAATACAAATGAAGTGCTGAAGCCTCAAAGGTTCCAGCAAAGAAATTTCTCCTTTGCTTCTCTCCAGTATCTAAAATCTTGATCCCACTTTGTCCTGGTTTTTGGATAGCTTGGTGCCAGTCTCTCACAAACCTGTTAAAACCTCCCTGGGGTGATGCCAAGCAATCCTCAGAGGATGTCAAAGAGCCACAGCAGCTACCATGGCTCTCACAAACCTGGGAGCCTTCACACAAGCATTTTAGGCACTAAGTTGATGAGGAAGATGTGACCAAATGCCTCCAATGACTTGGCTCCTCTTTAATGGAGCTGATAGCACCTACATATTCCAGTTTTAGGAGAGCAGCAATGGGTGTTGAAGATGTGTGTAATTTTTTTTTTCTGTATGTTTTTGGGATCTGTATCCATTTACTGTTCCTTTTCCTGGGACATGTATGGTGTTCTGGGGCTACCACTGCAGACCAGAGCTTTTCAAGCTGCAGACAAAGTGCAGGACTCTTCCATGCCCAGTGTCATTGTCACTGGGTTGGCATCTATGTGTATTTAGACAATGCTGAGACGAATGTTAGGTGGAATCACCAGACTGCTTCATTTCATTGTAGCACCCCAAAAACATTGAGGGCAGTCAGGACTTTCTGTGAGACACAGAGAGACCATGGCAAACAGAATGAGAGATTGGAGGTCATTTGCTGGATCACACAGAGGCTGAGGGCTGGAGTGTAACCCAGCCCTTGCACCCAGGTCTCCTGCTGGCCTCTCAGGGACCCAGCTCATGGAATATTCAAGTGCCATTTCAGACTAACACACCACACAGAATGCACATCTTGGGGAAAAGAAAATAACTCATGCACTGAGCAAATTGGAGGAGACTGGTAATGTTCATTCACCATGTTGAGATCACCTCCAGCAACTGCAGAGTAAAAGAATAATAATGAGAACAAGTGGCTTGAGTATAATGACTGCAAGCTCCTCTGCTGGCTGGCTTTCATGACTCACTATCTGCACCTCCAGAGTCATCACAGCTGAAGCTTTGGCAAAGCTCTCTTTTCCTATTAGTATAAAATGGTGAACCTTCATAGAAAATTCAATTGCAAAATCAACATAAATATACAATATGCCTGCACATACAATTAGAAATTTCCAGTTTGCTGCAAGCAAATGGTCTTTGCTGTCAGCCCTCAGTGCTAGATAAATATTCCATGGGTGAATTTCTGTGTAACAATAGTGACATCCAGTGGGTAGGGAGCTTAATCACAGGTACCTCCTGCATAAATCAATTCCCACTGAGATGTGTTTGCCTCTTCCCTTGGCATCCTTCTCTGTCCCACAGGAGAAGCATCAAACCCTGGCAGCACAGTGAGTGCGCAACTGGAGCTGTGTACAGCAGCCACAACCTGCATGTAGTGAGGACATGGAGAAAATAAGAGCAGGTGAAAGCTGGCAGGAAATGGTGACTTCCATCCAGTGTGGGGGTCACTACTGCCAGAAGAAGGCAAGGAGTACACAAGCAGCTCTAACGAGTTTGTGGCCACTGGTTTACAACTTATTATTTAGAAAACACCACTTTAATAGACTAGAAAATAAACTCAGGCCACAAAAAACTCATTCAACCTCCTAGTAACAGAAGACTAAAAATTTTTTTCTTCAGTTTATAATAATGAGAGAAAGATTTTATTAGACATTATAAGAAGGACAATTCAATACCTGGGAACAAGCCAAAGTAAGAACTTCCTCTCAAAACCACATAATGTTCAAAGAGACAAGAGGAAAATGATGCAAGATCAAATTCACAAACAATAGCAAAGTCCTACAGTGGCAAATATGACATGAATGTGCAGCACATTTGCTTGGGCACACCCTCAGGAGCGTTTTGCTGTACCTGCACTGGGTCCCAGTGACTCTGTGCCACTGTTCCTGCCATGGTCCTGAACCACAGGGAGGGACAGAGGACAATGAAGTCAGGATTGCAGCTCTGTTGATAAGAT